GTCATGCTCTTCCACGGCTTTCATGCTTCCATGTGGCTTAGCTGTGCACATATGCCTTTCTCTTCTCATCCTCCTAGAAAACTCCTACGCATCCTTCAAGGCCCAGCTTAGACACATTGTCTACTGCTCTGTTTATGAAGCCTTCCTTGGTATTCCAGGTATGGCTCTGAGCTCTCCCAGAACTCTGTGTATCCCTTGTCATAGCATTTTCCTGACAGTACATCAGTTAGAGAGACAATAAACGTTTATTAAGCCAGGCAGGAGAGCAAACACATTCCTGTACTTTTGGAGCTTATGATTTGGGGAAGATGACAGATACTGACAAGTGATTATGAACAACTAAGAAAATAATTGCAAAGATGCAAACTGCTGTGAAGGGGGTAGGGGATCCACTTGTCAGCTCCATAATCCTCAGCTAGCTGGGCCACTGGACAAATCGGTGTCCTGGTGTCCCAGGCCCTGGCTCCTCTTTCCTATATCAGCTGATGAGTAGATCGTGAGCCTCCATGGCCGTGAGGGCCAGCGGGAGAGCATTCTGTTCACAACAGGAGGGCTCAGTCTCTGACAGCATTCCCAGGTCAAGCAGAGTAAAACCTCATTAATGCCAACTCAATCTGGTGGGATTTGTGATATGAAAAAAGAAAAGATTTGCTGGGCTCACTAATAGTATAAACAAAGATTACAGTGGGGGGATGTTTACACTACTTAACAGGACAAGCTGCTTCCAAACATGATCGGGCACAGTAGAAACACCCATTGACATTTCTAGTAACTGATCTGCTAATTCACATCATTCTTATCTATTGTCAAAGCATAGCTCCTAAGGATGGCTGCCTGGCAGCTTTGTGCAATTAGTTCTAATCACGCTATGTGTTTGGAAGCCGTAAAACAGCAATTTCCTTAAAATCTGTAATTCAGATGCTGAGAACAAGGCATTTTAGAGCTTAGTGGTGTGGGTGCTGCATGTATTATCACATTCAATGTCCTCATTTCACATGTGTGCAGCTGAGCCTCAGAAAGAGGGAGAGAGAGGCTCCCCCACTGCCTGTATGATTTGAAGGCTGCTCACAGCGCAAGGGCATTGGGCTCAGGGGTAACAGGTGAGAAGGGGATGCTGAATTCCAGCCAAAACTCTGCTGGCCAAGCTGCGCAACCTGGTTCAGGGCTATGTGCATCTGGAAGGATACCCATTTGATTGCACATTGGCACCCCAAGTGGCTCACCCAAGGACAGCCAGTCAGCTGTCTCCAGGGGTGGGTGGGTCTCTCCTCTTCCCAGTTTGCTACTGCCCTTCTCTCCCTCAATGCTTCCTTCTTCCCAGGTGCCCCACCACTACTTTCCATTCATAGATTTGGATCTTTTCTCTCGCTTTATTCTATCCAAATTTCTGAGGTTTTATTGAAACAGTGGTTTCAGGTCACTGATGTCTTTTCCAAGACATTAGAGAGATGAATGAGAGCTCAAAGGCTACTTTATTTTGCCAGTAGAAATATGGTGGCAGTGGTAGAGGTGGCTGTGATGGAAGTGGTTGTGGTGGAGGCAGTGATGGTGGTAGAGGTGGTCGCGATGGAGGTGGAGGTAGTGATGGAGGTGGAGGTGACTGTGATGGAGGTGGAGGTAGTGATGGTGGTAGAGGTGGTTGTGATGAAGGCGGAGTTGAAGTTGCTGGAAAGAAAGACCCATCCAGCCCCCAGTGAATTCAGCCACCCCAGCTGAAGTGCTGAAAGCAACTACATGAAGTCCCTAGCAAACCTACGTGGAGCAGAGGGTCCACTCAGTTGAGCCCTGCCACTCAGAGTCCTGAAAAATAAAGATGGCTGTTGTTTTTAGCCTGTGTGTTTTGGGATGGTTTATTTTGCAACAATGAATAACTGAGAGAACCCATGAATGATACAAAATCAAACTCTCTCAGTATATCTCAAAGATCTCTTTAAAGAATGAAATAAAAATTCAGTGCTTTAATTATAATTTAATTTTAAACATGAGCCAGCGTTTAATGCAATATTTAGTTTTCCTTTTGGTGGTACACAGAAGAATGGCATGTTTTATAATCGGACAACCTTAGAATTGATGAAATGTTGCCAGTCTTGATCCTAGATGCGGTCCCGAATGCCGCTGTCTTTACCTTCGTCGGCATTTACATGGATATTACGATGCCGGTTTTACAAGTGAGAAAGGTAAATGTCAGGGAGCTAAGCATTGTGTCCAAGGCCACGAAGCCAAGAGAAGACGAGCCAGCGTTTAGGCCAGGACTGTGGGGAGGCAAAGCGTGGCTGCTCTAGACGGAAGCTGACCTGGAAGAAGCTGTAGAGTTTTCCTAGCTGTGACTACTGTTCCCCGAATCGGCCATGAGGTCAGCGGCCAGAGGTTTCTAGACCCCGGTTGTCCCCAGGTCCCAGGACTCAGGCTGCCCTTGCGGAGCTTTGTGGGGGGAGGCGGGACGGAGAGCCAGGGTCAGGCGCACTCACCGTACACCTTGAGCTGCAGGGTCTGGGTCCAGGCCCGGCCGGCCGTGTCCACCAGCAGCACGGAGAAGTTGCCGCTGTCTCCAGGCTCCAGGGGCCGCAGCTCCAGGCTGAGGTTGCTGTGCAGCTGGGCTCGGCCCAGGAAGCGGGAGTGGTACAGAGTCTCCGGGGAGCCCCGGAAGAACGTGGCCAGGAGCTCCTCTGCTGGCCACAGAGACCTCCAGATGGCCTCTCGGACTCGGAAGCCCGACGGGCGCTTGGCCACCAGCAGCGCCGAGCCCCCCACCTGGCCCTGTACTTGGGCGTGGGTGACTTCAGGGGGGAGCAGTGCTGGAAGGACAGAGTGCCGTCACTCTGCCTGCCCCAGACCTCCTCACCGCTCTCCTGCGCGCGGCTGAGCTGCCACGGGGCCAAGGACAGCCCCTCTCCCCTCACTCCCTCCACCCAAGCCAGGGCCCGGGACTAAGACAGTGAGGAAGGGAGTCCAGCCCCTGTGCTCATGAGTTCCTCTTTTCATCTTTGTACTCCCAGGCTCTTAATCAAGCAACTTAAATACATTAGGTCCTATGATGGGAGAAAGGGGTGCCCTGAGAGAAGACGGGTAGGCTGATAGGTGAGCTCACCCTGCCTGGAGGGACTCAGAGAAGAGACGGTTAAGCAGAGACCAGAAAGAGGCATGGGACTCAGCCAGGCCCAGCAGAGGACGGCCTGGCACGGGGTGGGGAAGTGTGGAGGCGGAGGGAGGGTGAGAGAGAGAGGCAGAGGCGGAGGGACGGGAACTGAAAGCAGTTCTCGCAGGGGGAGTAGGAAATGGCACTGCATAGTCGGCGGGAGCCAGGTCCTGCAGGGCCCTGAAAGCAACTCTGAAGTTTGGGCTTTATTCTATGAGCCACGGGGGGCCTCGGATAGGTTTTAAGTAAGAGAGTGACATGATTAGCTCCATGGTCAGAAAGACAACTCCAGCAGAGGGGTGGAGGGTGCACTGGAGGTGGGGCACGACTGAGGCTGCTTGTATGAGTCCCAAGGAGAGTGACGGAAATGTACTGAGGAAGGGAGACCCTGGGGTGCAGAGAGGTGGGAGGAACTGAGACAGAGGAAGGTGTGCGGTCAGTGGGATCTGGAAGTGAGGGAGAGGGGGTCGAGGATGGCTCCCAGGTCCTTGAGACCCACGGGTTGCATTCTCTGTGATCCGGGACAGGAGGAGAAACAGAACGGGGGTGAGAGGTCTGTTGGGAGGGTACTGAGTTTGACGTGGGTGGGTGACACCTCTGCCCGAAGCGCTCCCCAACTCCCTTGCTGGCTAATTTCTGCTCATCCTTGAAGCATCGCTGCCTCCCCTGACCTCCCTTATCCATCACTGCAAGTCACAAATTCTTTTTCTGTGCTCCTCTGGGATCACCACTCAGAGGGCTCTCATCCCTCCACTGTTACTGCTTGTTTATGGGCCCGACAGACCTTGAGTTCCTCTTCTCATCTATGTACTCCCAGTGCCCACTACTGTTTAGAAACTGGCTGTAGGAGAAGCCCTGTAGATGTACTTACTGCATGACTAGATTGGCTGAGGACTTCCCCTGGCTCAGCGGTGGGCTCTGGGGTGCAGACGGGAAACACACCCACATGCTGGGAGTTGGGTGAAGGAGACGTGTCCTGGGTGGTCACTCAGCCAGACACCAGGAACTCCAGTGCCCCGTCCATCTCACTGCCCTCCCCGCCCCAGCCATCTCAGTCCTAACCGGGGATGGACTCAGGGTTAATGCAGCGTGGGGACATCACACAGAATGAGAGCAGCACCAGTGTCAGTCAAGACTCCTGTTCTATCTGCCGTGGCTCTGCCACGAATGAGCTGTGTGACCTTCAGTGTATCACCCTCCCTCCCTCGGCTTCCGTTGTCCCATCCATAAAACAAGCGGTTGTACCCGATCAGTGGTACTTCTCTCTTTAATCGTTAAGAAAAATGATTTTTGCCCTCCCTGTCCAAGGACTTGAAAGATTTGAGAACCAAACTGATTCCCTCCTTTTGCAGGATTTCCTTCACAAGTTTAGAAATGTTGAAACCTGCAGGGCTTTTTGAGCCAGGAACCCAGGTGGGGACATTGGACAAAGTCATCTTGAGCTCCCCATGAGTCTCTGATGTAAACCAAAGTGTCTGAGTCTTTGCCACAGCCCACGACTCCTATTCCCTGGCCTAGCAGTGCTGGCCCTGGTCACTCTGACCACTTGTTAACCGAGGGCGGGAAGTCAGGCATCAGACAGGTTGTGGGGGGATCGCCCAGTGTTGCAGAGACCTGACATAGCTCTTCTAACCTCACACAACTACCGGCCACTCGAAGCCCACACGTACCACATTAACTTGCTCCTGCCTCTCATCGCTCCTCAATAATTACTTCCACAGACCCACAGCAAGTGGGGGCCCTCAGTTTTCCCACAGGCTGTTGGAAAGACGTCCTCAGATTGCAAGAGCCCCACCTTCCCCTGCCCTCCCCTGACTGTATTTAGAGTTTGCATGTGTTAACACTGTCAGACCCTCATATTCTCACAAGCATCTCTTCTGAAACCAATGGTACCACCAGCCTCAGATTTAAGACCCTCCCTGGGCCACAAAACAGCTCATGTCTCATGGACATGGTTGTTCCTTGGGCAACCATCCTTCCATCCAGGACCCTGCATCTCTTTGCCTCTGCCTAGCTTTCAAATTTGCACAAGAACTTCAGTCTTCCCCACCCTTCCTCAGCTCCTAGGTTCTCACTTGGGATGGGGAGGGTGTCCTGCCCCGATGTTGAGCTCTCTAAGACCAGGCCACTCATCTGCCCCACTTACCTTCCCAGAGAAGCAGACTCCACAGGGACCACACAGCCATACTTCGGAGAGGAAGGCAGACTCCTTCAAATCCAAAACACTCAAAATCCAAAACATCCCAGGTCAAGTGGAAGAAAGAAGGAGCTACAGTCCTTCTGGAAAGTCCCATGTTCAGAAGGAGGAATCCTGACTCAGAACAAGATGCCCCGAAAGTGAAAACATCCAGAGGAAAGTGGAAGTTGGCCTTGGGCCTGGCTGGGCCCTTTCAGGAGCTGATTCTTGTAAGTCAGCCTCTTTCCAGTGCTTGTGGTTGACAAGCACCCACATCCTCCCGGCGGACTCCCACCAGGCCTCCCTGCATCCACTCTGCACCAGAGCCGCCTGCCTTTCCAGTTGGAGCCCTTTAAACTGCAGTTCCCACCGTCACTTCTCCTCTGCTTAATATTCCTCCGTGTCCTCCTGCTGCCCGTAGGATGAAGGCTCAACTCTTGGCTCTCCTAAGCCCTCCTCCAGCCTGCTTCTCCAGGCTGGTGTCCCACGCCCATGCTGCTCCCCAGCCATGCCAAGCCAGGACTACCTCTTCTCACAACTGTCAACATCACACTTCCGAGCGTTCTACTTGCTCCTCCACCAGACTTGCTGTTCCAACCATCCTTCCAGACTTGGTGTGGCTACACGGGCTATGTGACAGGCCAGACTGGCGTTCAAGGCTTCCTGATCACAGGCAGCGTGAGGAACCTCCCCTTCTGCATGTGCGTTCTTCTGTCATCACTCTTAGCACACTGTTTTGTGACACTGTGCTTGTCTTCACAGGCTGTTTGCGTTGAAGATCTTAAATTCACTTCTGTGTCCCCTGGATGCTCGGCACATCATGCACATTTACTGAACATTGTTAAACGGGGGGCATGAATCCTAGATATGGTCGCCTTGTTTGCTTCCTGGAAGCCTCTTCTCCAAGAGGATCTTATGGACCAGACAGAGGTTGGAACCTGGTGGCAACCACAGAGAAGCAGAGCTGAGTTGAGCTTCAGCCTTCGGAGTGAGGTCCATTTTGCCCGTCGCCCCCTCCTCACCCTGTTTCTCTTCTGACTTCCAGTCACGTGGTGTCTTGAGTCAGGGAAGGTTTTACGAGAAGATAAGGAAAATCCCCGAGCTTCCTGAGTGTGGCTCATGGTGTCTAGCCCTGCGTGGCTTCTGACCTGCCAGGCAAGCTGGACGCCCTGCTCTGGATCCAGCCGGGAACGAGGCAGATGTGGAGGTGGGCGAGTAGGAGGATTCCGGGACAGGGTTCCTGCCCTCCAGGTCTGCACAACCAGGTTGGAGGAAGGGAAGAGAAGGCTCCCCGCAGACAGGCATGGCTCCGCACAGAAGGACAGTGCAGGGAGTCTGCACTGCAGGAGGGCGTGGGAAGAGGTCTTTGTGGATATGGGCAGGAGACGCTTCCTTTCAAAGTGGAATTGGAGCTGCATCTTGAAGATGGACGTGAGACTGGGACAGGCTGAGGAAACAGGGAGGGCCAGAGGTTGGGAGTGGGCTCTGAGCATGAGGGGGAAGCAGAGTGTGGCAGGCTTGGCAGTGGGGAAGCCCCAGTGGGCTCCAGGGACAATGAAGGATCAGAAGGAGGAACCCTTCAGGGCTCTGCGGTGGGTAAGAATGGAAAGAGAGGCTGGGGGTCGGATTATGGAGGCTTTGAATACTGGGTTAAGTTTAGGCTTTTGTCCTGGAGACCAGCGGCTCTCCCCCATGCTGAAAGCTTGGATTCTCAGGGCTTCTGGTTCAGTGGGGCCTGGATGGGGGCACTCCAGGTGATTCTGGGCTGGTGGACCGAGGGAGCTCTCTGACAAGCAAGGCCCGGAGGAAGGGGCTGCTGTGCACTCTGAGCGGGGGCTGATGCGGGTGGGAGGGCAGCGCTCAGGGCTGACTGGAGGGAAGCGAGGCGGAGAAGCCTGGGCAGCTGCGGCTGTGATGGTCCTGATGAAAGCAGACAGGAACTCTCCAGAGAGAAAGGGGCAGAGCCAGAGTCGTGACAGAACTTGGACGCTGCTGCCTGTGGGGCAGAGAGGCCAAGGAAGGGGAATTGCCTATGACTCCACCGTCAATTCCATCATTCACGTGTCAGATATTTATTGAGTATCTACTTACGTGCCAGGTGCTGGGGACACAGAGATGAAAGGCGCGGCCCCGGCCCCCAAGGAGCCTGCAGTCTAGGTGAGAAGACGGGCATGTAACCCAATAGTTACAATCAGCGTGGCCAGAGCAACACCAGCTGTGTGCGCGCGATGCCCTGGGAGCCAGAGGACGGGTGGGTGGGAGCCAGCCTGGGCAGGTGGGAGGCCGGAGGGCCTCGTGGAGGCGGCGGTATTTCAGGAGAGCCTGAGGATACAAACAGATGAGGGTGAGGGTCGCTCTTCAGAACTCAAGCTCTAGGGTCGGGCTTCTCAGGTTCGGATCTTGGCTGTAAAACTTTGAGCAAAGTGGCTTCTCTATGTTCTGTGTCTTCATCCATGAAACAAAGGTTAATAACAGTATCCACCTCTTTTTTGGTGGTAAGGGTGAGACCACTTAGAGTGGGGTCTGGTGCATGGTTATGTAAAACAGAGAATGCTGCCCACCGTCCAGTCCTACAAGAATCAAGTCATTGGCCACTGCAGACACTGACCTGCAATAAACCCTGGAAGGGATTTAGGGCTGTGATCAGGATGAGGCACTCTGTGCTTTGGGGAAACAGGCAGAACAGGCCCTCAGGTATTTTCAGAGAAAATTTAATGAACCCAATTTCTTGCGTCTTCCCATACTTAGAAAAGCACTGAAGTCATTCACTAGGTAGCTGTGCCGTGTGACAGCAGTGACCTCCTGCCGAGATGTGTGCTTGATTGCCTGTCCTCTTCCCCCAAATCACATACATGCTAACCTCCCCCGACCTCTTCCGAGTGGCTCCTCAGAGCTATCTGAGAGGCTGTCCCCTGGGCTATACTGTCCTCTGCAAGTCCCCAAATAAAACTGGAACTCTCAGCTTTCACGGGGTACATTTTAATTTCAGTTGACAGCACTCAAAAAAATTAACCGTCATTGTTACTAACTGGCCACAGAGAGGGAGGAAGGCGGAAGTGGGCACATGCAGGTAAAGGAGAGTTGGGGTGCAGGAGCAGCCCTGCTCCAACTCTCTCCGCCCAGACAGGGAGCTCCTGAGGGTGGCGATCAGGCCCCCTTCATTTCTGCACCCGGCATATCCACCCACTGACAGGCTTCCCACGAGGTGGTGCCCTCCAAGCACGTGTTGAAGTGTCAAGGCCAGGACTGGGGTGGCCATGGGATGTGGGAATGCTGGGGATACAGATGAGGAATTCCTTTGGAGGAGGTGGTGGTCAGTCATATTCCCGCTGAGCAGAAGGTGGTCCAGAGTGGGCCATCTAAGCAGGAAATGAGTTGTGATCTTCCTTGCACCTCCCCACTTCCCCAGCCCTTTTCCTGGAAAGGAATCTCAGGGAAGCTGAGGAAGTGGGGAGGAGGAGCCTGGGTGAGGACCTGAAAATACCCCACCTCCCCAAAGGGACAAACTTTCTGGGCCTGTGACACCTGAAGAAGAATGGGCTGACGGAGGCGCAGGAAGGGTTAAGTCTGCGGTGGCGGCAGGTCCTCCCCCACTGCTAATCACTGGTTCAGACCACATTAATTACCCAGCCACAGAGGGAGTGAGCGGAGTAAATTAGCTGGTGAGTTCAAAGGGGCCACTCCCCACATTCCTTAATTAAGAGAGCAGCTGGTAGCCGGGCTTCAGTTCAGCCTCCCTGGGGCCTTTCTGGGAAGCCCGAGCCAGCAAAGGCGGCCTCCGTGAGGCCCAAGCAGGCACAGTGGCCCCATCTACCAGGCAGAATGGCCTGTGCCAGCCCTCAGACCACCTTCACTGCCGGCTGGGTAGGTGGGCGGAGAGGGGAGGGTGTTAACCGTGGCCAAACCAGTGCCTGAGCTCACCCATTAGGCCTGGGAGTGAGGTGGTGCAGGGATTTAGGGCCCAGTGGAATTTGATGGGGTGTGAAGGGGGCCCCAAGTAATGTCCCGTCCCTGTTCACTCGCACTCGTCTTGATCCTTGGACTGGCCTGAGGGCAGAATGGGGCCTCGCTTCTCCCTGGTGGAGAGGTGGAGAAGGGAAAGCAAGTGGGATGTGGGAGGAGAGAAGGGAGGTGGTAGGAAGGAGGTGGAGGAAGATCCTCGACAGGAAGGAGGGGCATTCAGGAGGCTTTTTGAAGCCAAGGGTGAGGGGAGAGTGTGGGGTGTACTGGGGTGGGGGTGGGCCTCTGGGCACAGCATCCTAGGGTGCAGGATGGGGCTGAGGGGCAGGTGGACCGCCCCCTAAGCCCTGTCTCTGTGTCTGTCTTTGCTGATGCAGTTCCCATGGAATGAACCAGTTGCCTACACGATCTGCCGGCCAACACCATGCCACCAGGCTGCCCTGCGCGGGGGAGCCCATGTGCACGCCTCCCTTGCCAGCCGGCTTAGGCAGTGGTGGAGGAAGATTGGGTTTGAGGCAGTCCCGGCTGTCCTCTTACTGTGAAGGAAAAGCCGGGCTGGGCTAACAAGCTAACTCACAAATCTAAGTGTAACAAGTGTCAGATTACTGATCTGAGTTCTGCTGGGCTAACTCGTAAATCTAAGTTTATTAGTGTTGGTTTGCTGATTCCCTGTTCATGTTTTTTTGCTAACCAGCTGGATTTTCAGAGACATATCTGGCCTTGAAATGTTGGTTTGCTGCCTCCCTGCCTCTACTTTTGTGATAATGATGCTGCTAAAGCTGTTCCATGCCTATTGGCTGAATACCCCAAGCTTGTAATTAACCCTATAAAACCTCATGCACACGTCTTGCAGGTGCTCAGAGCTTCGGAGCAGAAGCCCCTCTGAGCCCGCCAGCCAGCATAATAAATCTGAGCACTCCAACCCTCTGAGTGGTGCTTGTTTCTTGCTGGCCTGTCATTTCCGTAACATTACTGCCTCCCTTTAAAGGGGCAGTGCCAGCCTCCTCTCCATCCTCTTCCCAGCTAAGCAGTTCTTTCTTCTCTTATCCTGTAGGTGATGTGACCCCCACAGAGCCCAGGTCTCAAGAGGAGGCACCGCCAACACACCCCTGCTGGATAAGTGCATGTAGCTCTGACGTGGAGAGAAAAATGAGGTTTCTCAGCTCAGAGCCTGGCGACTGTGGAGACTGCTGGTGGCAGGCCTGTGGGGCAGGGGGGCAGGCTGGGCGCCGTGGCACCCCTCCTCAGGGTCTGCAGGGTCTGGCGCTGGAGAGCTGTGAGAGCCCCATTCTCCCTTCACGGCGTCTCTGCTGCCGCTGCCCACCAGCGCCCTCTGGGAACAGAAGCGGGCGCCTGCTCTGAGGACTGGAGGTGGGGTTTGGGGCTGGGTGTGCGGACATCAGGCAGACCAGTGAGAGCCTGGGCTGGAGGACGTGGGCTTTCTTCTGAAAGCTCTATTTTCTCCGTGTTCTTTGGGGGACTCTCTTTTCCTTTTTCTTAGTAATTGTTCATTTTGAAAAACCCCAGCTCACTCTTTTATGAAGTAAGGATCTGGGGAGAGAACAGAGTGTCCGAGAGACCAAGCCAGTGGGGTGTCCGTGTGTGTGAGAGAGAGGAAGAGAGAGAGCGAGTGAGAGCAAGCTGGCAAGTTTTTGTGCGTGTAAAATAGGACTTCTCACCTACCTGTGTTGAAGGACCTGTTTTTCTTTTTTATTTCCAATCCATTGTGGAGCTATAATATAAAAGCAAATTACTAAAGAAAATTAAAAGATATATAAAATACAAGTCCTAATTTTTATGATTATATTAAACACACACACAATTATTCTGTCAGATTGCTATAAAAGTTCCTAAATTCTTGCTTTCTGCCTGTTACACGTGGACTGGTGAATGCAGCTCACAGACAGCCCCTGTGCGGGGACGACGTGTTGAGTGTAGGGGCGTAGGGGCAGGGATGAAGGAGGCATGAAGGCTCAGGAAGGAGGGGGTCTGTGGGGACGACTGGAGGGCTGGCTCCTTCCTGGTCCCCATCATCAGTGTTCCCTTCATGAGCTGTCTTGTATCCATTTTGACTCTTTTCAAGGGGGCGACTCATTTACAGAGGGCGTGGCAAAGGCGTGGGTTCTAGGGGTGCTTCCTGACTGACCAGTGGGGACACTGCGGTTCTAGATGGCCTGTGCCCCCCTCAGTCATCCCAGCAGAGTCCAGGAGGCAAAGGGGAGGGGACCCCGGTGTCTTCTGGCTGCCGACGACGGACTGGTGATGAGAGAGGATAAGAAAGAGGAAGGGTTGGGATGGAAAAGGGGAAGGAAGAAAAGGGAGAAGAGAAGTGAGGAAAAAGACGCTAGCATGGGTTTCTCATCCCCTGTCTTCACCCGGAGCAGATCCACAGGCAATTAAGCTCCTAAGATTTACTTCAAGATGTCTGTATTTTGGAGGTAGACCAGGATCTTAAAACTTTAATGCACATACAAATTGCCTGAAGATCTTATTGAATGCAGATTCTGATTCAGCAGTTCTGGGGTCTGCATTTCTAATAAGCTCAAGGGGAAATGTGAGATGTTTGCAGCTCTGAGGGGCCAGGAGCTCTCTGATCACAGACTTCTTGCCTGGAGAGGTGGGTGGGGTCTGGTGCAGCCCAGTGTCTGCAACTTGGACCTCACTTTCTGTGAGGCCAGTGCAGGGGCCTGCAAAGACGGGGCCAGAGCCTCGCAGGAGCAAGTGTGTAACCGGTTCTTTACGGACAACTCTGGCTGTGGACTGGACTGGGACTCACTTCCCTTCTCCTGCCCCATCCCTGCCTCTTCCTCGTCCTCCTCATCTCTCTTATCACCAGCCTGGGCCACAGGGAGTCCATACTCCTTGAATAACCCAGACTGAACTAACTACAGCAGTGCCCACGGTCACTATTGATGGACCACACGAGACAAACTGATATACCTTTAATTACAGATTCTACAACCATGTGTCTTTTGAAGCCTGCAAGGGTAACTGAGTTTTCTGATGCCTTCCACCAACAGGGCTACTGGCTGCTGGGCTCGGGAACTGGAGGGCCCACAGAAGAGGCTGGGCCCCCTGACCTTGGGGGAGCGCTGGAGGCTGTGGAGGGGTGTGTGTGTTGCGGGGACGCTGTCACTGGCGGAGGACCTCCTCGTAGTCACCAGTGGGATCTTGGTGGGTCCTGCTGCTTCTGTTTAGCCCCTGGGCTGGAACCTCTCTGAGCTGCAGGCATCTCATCTCAGCGTAGATGACAGAGAAGTCCTGTGGGAGAGTCAGGTCAGGATGAGGAAGCAGAAGTCACACAGGGGATGAGAAAAGAGCAGGGGCCCCAGCTCACCTCTTCCTGCTGGGATGACTCTGCAGGCATGGCTGTGGGGGAGAGAAGCACCCTCAGGTTAGGGCATTTGTCTCCTTCCCACCTCCTTGCTGGCTGTCTTCCTCTAGAAGAAGGTCAGCCCAGGATGGGAAGGCTGCTCCCCCTTTTACTTCTTGGGACCCCTCTCCCTCAATCTGAAAACAGGTGGGTCTGGGAATCAGGAGACCTGAGTCTAGTTCCAGTTGAACTACACCCCAGCTGTGTGACCTGACAGCAGTCACTTGGCCTCTGAATCTCAGCTTCTTCACCCAGGAAAGGGGTGGTGATGGTAACAGTGACTACCTCACAGGATTACATGAGAAGCTGGAGAGACGAAGGTGTCCAAGATGCTCTTAGAATAACTACTCCAATTATACACCTACCATGTACCAGGTAACCTTTTAGGTGTAAGAATTATATATCTAATGTATCTAGAATATATCTAACAGATATATAAATCTTTATATTTAATCATCTCACATCAACCTGGCCAACTAGGAGTTACTGATTCCTTCTCACATTGGGATGAGAAAACCAAGGCTCAGGGGTGTTTGTGGTGACGGTGGTAATGAAGGAGGGGATGGTGGTGGTAGTGGTGAAGGTGGTAGTCGGGGTGAAGGTGGTGGTCATGGTGATGATGGTGGTCAGGGTGATGGTGATGGCCAGAGTGATGGTGGTGGGCAGGGTGATAATGGTGGTCACAGTGATGATGGTGGTTGTGATACCTCACCCTAGGCCCCAAAATTCCCCTTTACATTAGTTTATTTACTTATATAATTTTTTTCTTTTTGTTTTTTAATGGAGGTACTGAGGATTGAACCCAGGAATTCATACGTGCTAAGCACGCGCTCTGCCACTAAGCTATACCCTCCCCTTCCCCTTTACATTAGTAAAGGTGTTAATTTTGGCCTGAGATCACTCACCTTCGCTCTTCTTTGGGGTTGTACGTACCGCAGTGTAGACAACCCCTGCATCCTCCCCGTTCTCGAAATGAGCTGAAAGAAAGGATGCAGCTTGAAAAGGACCCACCTGCTCTCCCACCCCAAGACCTAAGTGCCCTGAAGGCCCTTGTGGTGGGAAGCCAATCAAGGGCTCTGTCATGGTGAGACCTGGCGGCAGGAGACAGTTATTAACGTGGGAGATCCTTCTTGGCAGACGGTGCCTGCCCCCTGCACCAGACTCTAGCAGCTTCCCCAGCCCCGACATTGTTTAAACTAGAGGTTGGCTAACTTCTGTAAAAAACATAGTAAATATTGTAGGCTTTGCATATACCTGGCTCTGTAGTGTGAAAGCAGCCATACATGGTACATACATGATGTTCTCTGCAAAAATACTTGATGGGCCAGATGTGGCCCATGAGCCACAGTTTGCTAACCCTTGCTCTAAACCTCTGTCCTGGTGGCCAGGCTCCTTTCCTGCTTCCTGCTCCCACCACCATCTCCACACACTCAGTCCTCACACTCTCCCTGGAAGTCATCTGCTTCCCTCCCCAGATGACTCTAATTCCTGAGACTCGGGGCTCACGAGGCCTTTCTTCTCCTGACTCCCCTTAAGAGGCCCTTCTCTGCCTTTATGGGCAGATCCCGGTCCTGCTGGACGTCCACTGACACACAGTGGGTGCTGCTCTCCACCTGGGGCTGGGGGCAGATTCTGGGATGGAAGAGGCTATGAAGGCACAATGCACTGAGTGCCTCAAAGAGCAGGCTGGACAGTGGGGACAGAGAGGCTGCTGGGGGTCTGATGCTGGTTTGTGAATGAGGGTTAATTCACAGGTCTGGACACAGTTAATTTTTAAGGGATGTTTCCTTGGAAAAATATCCTAGCGGATAGGATGGCTCCATGGGGATCACAAACTGGAAGGAAGCAGGGTCAGAAAGGATGGATCACACCTTTGCATCCAAAGAGCCCAGACCCACCAGTCAGGCTGCTTTTCAGAAGGAGGAAAATCTACTATGTGCCCGAAACAGGGCCAGGGAATTAAAATTCTGTGTCTACTGTAGAGCAAATTTCCTAACCCAGGCACCAGCACAGAGCTGGATATCAAAAAAGCCCCTATTCCTAATTCTTCAGTGTCTCATATTCTTCACAACCAGCTTGCAAAGGTTGTACTATTATTTCCATTTTACAGGTGAGGTGACTGAGGCTGGGAGAGGTGACTTCCCCAAGGTCATACAGTAAGTGGTGGGGACAGAATCTTAAACCACTTTGTATGCTTTTCTCCACTCACATGCTGCCTTTGTGACAGCAGGTGTTTCCAGAACCTTAAAAATTAGTTCCTGGGATAGGAATTGGGTCACATGCGAGCTTTAGAACCCAGCGTCTAAGAAATATTCAATAGCTCGTACAGCAAGGAAGCATCAGAATCACCAGGTAGGATCTCAGAAATAAAAACCAAGAGGGCAACAGCAGGACCTCGTTGTTTATCTATTTTATATATAGTGGTTTGTATCTGCTAATCTCAAACTCCTAATCTATTCCTTCACTTTCCCTTTTTCCCCTTAGTAACGATAAGTTTGTTTTCTATGTCTGTAAATCTGTTTCTGTTTACTAAATAAGTTCATTTGTGTCATGTTTTAAGATTCCACATATGAGAGATATCATATATTTGTCTTTCTCTTTCTGGCTT